AAAGCACGCGAGAGGGATTAAAAGTGATGTCAAAATCAAGGGCAAAACATTTTCATCGTCTAACTTTGTTTTCACCTTTTTAAGTCTCTCGATTTCAGCCTCGTCCTTCTTCACAGTCTGCTCCCACATCATGACCTTCTCCTGGTCTTCCTTCAGCTGATTCTTCTCATAGTCCAACTGGATACCCAGGCGGGTCTTTTGAGTCTCAAACTCAAGACTAAGACAAAAACAATGAAGTTATGCTTCAACAAACCAGAGACAGATTCACTATTAGCAGAAGTGACTGGATTACTGAACTCACCGCTTCTTTGCAATCTCATTCTGCCTCTTCACTTTCTCCTCCTCAAACTCTCTGATATTCCTCACTCCAATCTCCTTACAGAATTCCACAAACACCTCATCCTCCACCTGGGAAACAGAAACAATGTTGTGCAATGTTACATGTTCATAAACGGACTTCTAACTGCAGCTCACTCTGTGCCAGTCTCACCAGGTTCATGCGGTCTCGCAAGTCAGTGATTTCCCGCTCACGGGACTGGATGATCCTCTTGATGTCATTGATGCGAGGGCCAAAGTTTGCCAATTCACTCTCTAGCTTAGACTTCTCCTGTATCACAGAGTAACAGAAAAACATTTAATGCGAGGGTCACTGTTTCTAACGGTAAGAGGAAAGAAAGCTGTTACTGAGCCGTACCTGCATATTGAGGGAGAGGTGACGGGTTTTTGTCTGCTCCAGATCACTCTGTGAGTACTTGAGTCTCATCTGCAGACCGTGGGCCTGAGACTGCACCTGACGGAGCTCTGCCTCCTTCCTCTTGGCCTTCATTTGCTCCTGCAGAGGAAAACATCAACATTAAGTGGATATTCATGAATTGTTCATTTAATAATTAAGGGAGTATAAAATAACAACAATTATTTTAGTCAGAGGTTAGTCAGCATAAAGTGCTTCATGGTGACTCTTACTAAAAATCTGTCGTCCCAACAAACTCTCTGATGTGGGTCATATAATTAAAGTCACCTTGAGCTCTTCAGTGAGTTTCTCCTTTTTCTCTTTGAGCTTGTCCACTGCCTTCTCATCCCATCGTCTGGCCTTAGCTTTCAGGTCGCTGGCACCTCCAGAGATGACTCCAGACTTCTGGAACAGAGTACCGTCCAGGGCTACCGTCTGGACACCGATGAATAAGAAGTTAATAGGTAGAAGTAGTTATTACGCATTCTCACATCTATGAATCATCCAATCATCCATCTTTAAATTAGGTTAAGTACCTTGTGCCTGTATGGCCCTCCAAAAGCAATTCTTCGCGCATCCTCAACATTCTCGCA